GATGCTGTACTCCTCCGCTCTGATTCTCATGGTCTTACCCTAGTATCGGCGATGAAGGTTCGAAGCCGATCGGATGAAGCATTAACAAATTATCACATGGCTTAGATTCCATTAGGTTAGAATAGGTTTACGTTAATTATTGTAAATACACATGATAACCGCAAATAAAACTGCATAAAAATGCTTAAATGGAGAGAATGTTATCTAGAAGTAACTAGATAAATTAGACACATGCGCAACACTTAGATACGTTTATTATGGAAATATTTCGCCACATATTGGCTACATCAGTCCAATACAAAGAATGGTGAAAATCAAAAGGAATGTGAGGTAATCAGTCCCTCAGCCTAATTTATCAACTTGTCGGTTCTCTGAGCCATTTATCAACACTCCAGAAGGAACGGAAGCAGGACTTACACTCCGGAAGAAACGGAAGCAGGACTTACACTCCGGAAGAAACGGAAGCAGGACTTACACTCCGGAAGGAACGGAAGCAGGACTTACACTCCGGAAGAAACGGAAGCAGGACTTACACATAGTCGTCCACACCTGGCGGGGTATAGTCACTGACCTTAATGACACTGACCTTGGTAATGTTATCGTTGCCAGCGCTCAAGGTGTTGCACGGTGTACAGCACTGCCTAACATATCCAGTATTATTACACTAAGAATATATTCTGAAGTCAAGATAAGGACTTGAACATATGTGAAACGCCCGGGTACCTTAGAACGCTGAGGCTTTTAGGCTGGTTTCTTTGTGCAACCAAAATATCACCTTATATCACACAACACATAGCATGTAATAACATCCCATGACACAGCAACACCACATATCACACAACAGATAGCTTGTAATAACATCACATGACACAGCAACACCACATATCACACAACACATAGCATGTAATAACATCCCATGACACAGCAACACCACATATCACACAACACATACCATGTAATACATCCCATGACAACAGCAACACCACATATCACACAACACATAGCATGTAATAACATCCCATGACACAGCAACACCACATATCACACAACACATACCATGTAATAACATCCCATGACACAGCAACACCACATATCACACAACACATAGCATGTAATAACATCACATGACACAGCAACACCACATATCACACACCACAAAAACACACAGTAACAATACATGACACACAACATATACACAGTAACACCACATGACACAATAACACCATAAACCATACCACGGGTGGGGATAGAACCCGCGATCAGAGAGTCTCAAAAATCCAGACCGTCGCGTTCGCCACTGGGTGGGCTCTGTCCCCGCCCGTGGTATGGTTTGTTTGCTATCGTGTCATTACGATTTCGTGAGTCATAATAACACCATACATCACACACAGCATAAGACACAATAACACCTCATAACACACAATAACATCTCATAACACACAATAACACCTCATAACACACAATAAAACCTCATAACACACAATAACGCCTCATAACACACAATAACACCTCATAACACACAATAACACCCCATAACACATAATAACACCCCATAGCACACAATAACAATCTCATAACACACAATAACACCTATAACACACAATAACACTTCATAACACACAATAACACCTCATAACACACAATAACACCTCATAACACACAATAACACCTCATAACACACAATAACACCTCATAACACACAATAATACCTCATAAACACAATAACACCCTATAACACACAATAACACCTAATAACACACAATAACACATCATAACACACAATAACCACCCCATAACACATAATAACACCCCATAACACACAATAACATCTCATAACACACAATAACACCTCATAACACACAATAACACTTCATAACACACAATAACACCCTATAACACACAACACATCATACACCAAACAATAACACATCATAACACACAATAAACATCTCATAACACACAACACCTCATAACACACAATAACACCTCATAACACAATAACACCTCATAACACACAATAACACCCAATAACACACAATAACACCTCATAACACACAATAACACCTCATAACACAATAACACCTCATAACACACAATAACACCCAATAACACACAATAAACACCTCATAACACAAAAACACCTCATAACACACAATAACACCCAATAACACACAATAACACCTCAATAACACAATAAACACCTCATAACACACAATACACACCCAATAACACTACAATAACACCTCATAACACACAATAATACCTCATAACACAATAACACCTCATAACACCCAATAACACACAATAACACCTCCATAACACAATAAACACCTCATAACACAATAACACCTCATAACACAATAACACCTCATAACACAATAACACCTCGTAACACACAATAACACCTCATAACACACAATAACACCTCATAACACAATAACACCTCGTAACACACAATAACACCTCATAACACACAATAACACCTCATAACACACAATAACACCTCATAACACAATAAACCACAACAACTACTAAAAAATACATGAACACCAGTCAGCAACAGAGTTTAAAGGGACTTTTAAATAGAAATTTAAATGCCACGGAGTAAATAAAAATATTGGACTTTAAACTCTTAAGTTTCAGAAAGCAACGTTCATGGCGTTTATATTACTGACTTTCAATAACCGGATAAAAGGTTCAGTTTTAGGCATTAAGATAAATGGATAACGTTATATAAAAGGCCTATATATCATCGTGTAATGGTAGAAGTTAAAGGCGGAGAGATACCCAAAATCTTGATATATTTAAAAATATGATATAAAAATGTTTTGAAAAATACTCAAAAGTGTGTGAAAAAATCTCATAAGACTCGCCTGTGTGTGTGTAAATTATAGTTGCTAGGTACTTTCTTTACGTTAATTCTAAGTGATTTTATAAACAATTTTAAATATTTATTGGTGACGTAATTGCTGTCATCACATCGGCAAAAGTATATAGGCAATAAATAGCGTTTGTAAAAACATTTTGTTATTCATTAATATGAATAGAAAGTAATGAAATATGGACGTCGGCAACATCGGGTTGTCGTGATGAATGAAATAACAATAACAGTCAGTGCCCCGTCAACCACGGCAGGAGAAGTGGGTGGGGTTAATGTCTTCGACACTTAAATTACTTTCGGACCATATTCTGGCGTTTTTTTATATAGATATCATTTTCAGTTTTAAATATGTTATGAGCAATGGTTGATTGTACACATCGACATTGAAATATTCCATATACTGTTTATGCTTTTTATAGGAATTCATAAAAGCAAGATTTTTTTCTATATTCTTTGGAATTTGTTCTATGAGGATATCCCACAATTATTTAAAAACGGAGACAGTCAGGTTTGATGCGAGGAAGGAGAAGAGTAGGTCTAGTTCCCCGGATCAACAACATCATCACCAGCCTCCTCAAGGAGGGGGATATGGCTGTTTTAATAGATTCACGGGAAGGTGCTAAACCCCCAGGGAGCGTTGTAGGGGGCGCCCTCTGACGGGTTTAGTGCATTTTTCGATAATGAATCGATAGGTTTTTAAACGAGTTGGTAAGACACATAGGCAACATTTAGGCATCGTAAAGATGCAGCTTGAAGATGCCTAAATGTTGCCTATATGCCTTACTAGCTTGTCACTATAGTATACCATTTTGATATTCACTCTGTCAGACACTGCAACACAATGGCATATTGGTAATGAAAACACCTTGGACAACTTTTTCAAGAGAGAATGGTTGGATCTGAGAAGGACGTGACCTCTCAGTGTTCACATTCGTTCTTCTACTATTCTACACCTCATCTGCTGACAGTATATAAGTCTCCGCACTGTCGCTTGTTCTTCACATTGTTTCAGACTATGGAACAGAACTCTTCTCCAGGCTGAGGGACTGACAACCTAAAATCTACATCTTCAAGGGTGATGGACTGATTACATCGTCTTCACATCTCTACTGCTCCTGCCTACTTTCTGTACTCGGAGAATGTGTAACTGTTGCCTATGTATCTTACCAACTTGTCGGTATTGTATTCCATTTTAATATTCACCCTATACATCTCTACAATATCTATCATCTTCACTACTTAACCCTGAATTACTCGGCGTCAGTTGGGTAAATAATGGAACCAATACGCATCTAACTTACCCCAAGTTATTTTTGTAACTTCGTTTGAAAGATGAAGGTCTTGGCTGGGTAACCTTCATTAGTTAACTGAGGACATCAACTCTCTTGATCTCTATAGCAAAGACCACGAAGCAGTCCTAAGGTAAACATTAATCTGGTAGAATCGACGTTTAGAAAGAGGATGTTTACGTGAGCGAGACGGTGCTAGTTATCACTTGTGTCAGCTAATTAACCTGTGCGGGACAGGTGGACGCAGTGGTGATGTTGTGATGGTGCTGTGAGGTGGTGAAAGTTAGTGATGATGGGTGATGGTGTGTCGGTGGTGTTGTGAGGTGGTGGTGAGTGTTTATGGGTATTATTTCGGTGATAGGTTTTGGTGATGATAATGTTTTGGAGTGTGATGATCATGTATGGTGATAGGGTGCAGCGATGTTGTGTGATGGTGCTGTATGGTGATTGTGTAGGGTGGCATTGTATGAGGATGGTGTGTAACGATGACAGACGAGGAATGAACGCTGGGTTACATTAGTAGTCCTTAGAATGGCACAAGGTTCGACTAAGCTATCTGGTGAACCACTCAAGAGGGCTTGCTTAAACCAGCAACTGGGTGTTTGCTCACTGATATGAACCACAAGCGTGTTAGTACGTGAGTGGTCACTGATAGAAGCCGCAGGCGTGTTGGAGGGTGGGCCCAGCAGTGTATGGTGGGTGGGGAAAAAGTGATAACTCCAGGTATGGGCATAGTGGCCCGTAGATTTGCCCGTAGCAGGTATAAAAGACCAAGATCAACTCCCCTAGGCCTCACATTACGCCCAGCCACACAAGAGTGAATATCAGAACCATATAGAGCATAGCACATAGTTTACCTGTGGGGTGAATTCTAAGAGTTCCGAGTTTCTCTGTGTATATGTGTACATAAATAGCTTCCAATATACTTGTAATTTTTGCAAATTCCGCTTTTACAGCCACTCTTGATTATTCTCCATGTAAGTATAGCTTAAGTGATGTTTACAGACCTACTTTTACTGGGAAGTAATCTCCCTCTACACACACCAACATGAGCCTCGCTATCCTCATAAAAACTGTTTACAACATTGAGTAACTTACTACCTAATTACGTATTGTAGTGAACATTCTTCATCCATGAAGTAATTGTATTTCAAAACATTCTCTCTTTTTTTTTAAGTCTACGTTTGAATCATTTCTACCTTAAAATAATTTCACTTTTCAAAACAGTTATGACAAAGAAAATGCTATTTTTTTTATTGTAAAATATTATGAATATTTTACTCATGATTCCTCTTTTGGCTGCTTAGTACTTTTTGTAAAATTATAACATTATCAGGAAATATATCTTCCAACTTTCCGTATTTACAAATTTTGCTGATTTCTCAGATGAAGCATCATAGCAAGGAATTACATTTTACTTATTATTTTCTTTTCAGACAGAGAAATTCACGAATGTGTGACGACGACGCTTGTGCCCTGGTTGTGGACAATGGCTCCGGTATGGTCAAGGCCGGCTTCGCTGGTGACGACGCTCCCCGCGCCGTCTTTCCCTCCATCGTCGGCCGTCCTCGTCACCAGGGTGTGATGGTCGGTATGGGTCAGAAGGACGCCTACGTCGGAGATGAGGCCCAGAGCAAGAGAGGTATCCTGACTCTCAAGTACCCCATCGAGCACGGCATCATCACCAACTGGGACGACATGGAGAAGATCTGGCATCATTCTTTCTACAACGAGCTGCGTGTTGCCCCTGAGGAGTCTCCTGTCCTCCTCACTGAGGCTCCTCTCAACCCCAAGGCCAACCGTGAGAAGATGACTCAAATTATGTTTGAAACTTTTGCAGCCCCGGCCATGTACGTGGCCATCCAGGCCGTGTTGTCCCTGTACGCCTCTGGTCGTACCACAGGTATCGTGCTGGACTCTGGTGATGGTGTGTCTCACACTGTTCCCATCTACGAGGGATATGCTCTTCCACACGCTATCCTTCGTCTTGACCTGGCTGGCCGAGACTTGACTGATTACTTGATGAAGATTCTTACTGAACGTGGCTACTCCTTTACAACTACTGCAGAACGTGAGATAGTTCGCGATGTGAAGGAAAAACTATGTTACGTAGCTCTTGATTTCGAGGGGGAGATGAACGTTGCCGCTGCTTCATCGTCTCTGGAGAAATCTTACGAACTGCCAGACGGACAGGTTATTACTATTGGTAATGAACGTTTTCGTTGTCCTGAAGCTCTCTTCCAACCTTCATTTTTAGGCATGGAATCTGTGGGTATTCACGAAACAGTTTTCAACTCAATAATGAGATGCGACATTGACATAAGAAAAGATCTATATGCCAATACAGTCATGTCTGGTGGTACCACCATGTACCCTGGTATTGCTGACCGCATGCAGAAAGAAATAACTTCTTTGGCTCCTTCTACCATCAAGATCAAGATCATTGCTCCTCCCGAGCGTAAGTACTCCGTCTGGATCGGTGGTTCCATCCTGGCCTCACTGTCCACTTTCCAGTCCATGTGGATCACCAAGGAGGAGTACGATGAGTCCGGCCCCGGCATCGTCCACCGCAAATGTTTTTAATTTTTTGAGTATTTATAGTAATCTGATTTCAAAACACACATGCATAAAGTTTTCCATTGTGATTAAGCTGGTTGTTTATAAAAATAATATTTCTGTTATTGTCCATTGTCAATTATTCTTGGTTGAAATAGACTGATGTGTTAGGTGATTTTAAATAACTCACATTTGTAACTCCTATAATTAAATCTTGCGGTTCACTTAGTGTTTCCAACATGTAGCGTATCTCTGGTAGCTAATCTATGTACCAAAGTTCCAAATGCACAAACAAGGAACTGGTGGAGTTTGAACCTACGGCGGGGGAGTCTTAAAACTCCAGGCCAATGCTCTGAAAAATATTTCACCTTCCCAGTTAGGAAAAGAAAATCCCAGTTGGGTACCAATGCTAGCAAGACCTTTATGCAATGGTGCTTAATCACGATTCTATATTAGCATATATTTTGAAAGTTCGCAGTCTTTATGGCTGTCAGCAGATAATGACTGACACAGAATTTAAGCTACAGATTAATTAAAGAAAGATATATCAACCACTCAGTCTAGTAAATAGTTTCTCTTCAGTCTGTGTCATATGACCAATGCGGGATTTGCGAAGGATGTCAAGTACAGTCTGTGTAATAACTGATTTTACTGCCCACTGAATGTCTAAAATATCAATTAATACACTCATTAATTTAATAAAATTATTTTAAAGAACTGTGTTAAAGATTCATTTATATATATTATATATATATATATATTATATATATATATATATATATATATATATTTATATATATCTTATATAATATATATTTATAATATTACCTATATATAGAATATAATATCATTGGGTATATATATATATATATTATAATGGCTAATCAACGACTCTATATTAGCATATATGAAATTCCGCGCTTTCAGCTGACGATATCTACACAGATTTAAGAAATTGATTGATCAATAGTTCCTTGATCAATTGAATATTTTCTTAGTAATGTGTATTGACCAAAGCGGTTTGGAGATGTCTACATCTGTTAATGACTGATTTTTCCCATAATTCTGAAATCACACTTTAACTGTGATAATTATTGCATGTTTAAGATTATTATATATATATATATATATATATATATATATATATATATATATATATATATATATATATATATATATATATATATATATATATATATATATATATATATTATATATATATATATATATATATATATATATATATATATATATATATATATATATTATATACAATAAGATCACAGTAAACAGGTGATTTCAGAATATGCAAAACAACCACTGTGAAAGAATAAACTCCAAGCGCTTTCGTGACTACTCACATTATCAAGGAACAATGAAAGTAAGCATCAAAGGAAGGTATATAAGGGGTCTAACCCACACCTCACCATCACATCCCACAACAAAGCAACACCTGACGCACGACTCATAAGAAAGGGAACACTGCAGCAGTCCCGCTGGCCCAACTAGACAGGTCCTTCACACAACCCACAAACAAGAATTAAGAATTAAGAATTTTAAAGTTTATTATTTGTTCAATATATTATTAAATTCTTCCCAAATTCTATTAATTATAAATGAATTTAATTTATATAAACCAAAGGAAATATTCATATTATTGTCAAAACTGCTTTTTAGGAACAAGATTCAATTATATTCCTGTCGACCATGGACTTGCTTGATACAACTTTCTCAACTTTTTGAAAATCAATTGGATGGTTAAAATCTTTCACATGAATAAATAGAGCATTGGAATCTTGTCCTGTTCTAATCCTATATTTATGTTGTTTTAATCTTAGTTCGAGATTTTTACCAGTTTGACCGTAATAATCTTTATCGCAAACTACTACTACAACTAACCCATCTCTTTGGGAAGGACCTACTTCCACTGGGGAATCCCGCCTACCAGTGAATATGCCCTCGTCTGCTTCACCTGACGTTACTATATAAGCGCCAGGATTCTTTCTTCTGCTTCAGAATCTCCACGACTATGGTGCTGTTCGCACCTACTCCTAGGTTATGGGATGATTACCTCATCTTCTGTACATAAGTTCTACTGTCTTCAAGTTATCTAGAATTTGTTTGATAAAGCACTGATGGGAAACTCTACATAAGATACCCAAGAGTGCACATGTGTCTTATCTCACTTGTCGGTTTATATACCATTCGTACACAACATATTTTTAGTTGAATAAGGTTGGTTGTCCCTTTTTGGATTGTAAAAAATATTTCTAGCAACTTTAAAAGATTTATCAATTACATTTCTTGGGTATTCAAATCATTAGAGTTCATAGATGAGGAAATATCCAAAATTTATGAAATAGGTAATGATTTGAAATACCCAAGAAACGTAATTGATAAATCTTTTAAAGTTGCTAGAAATACTTTTTATAATCCAAAAAGGGACAACCAACCTTATTCAACTAAAAATATGTTGTGTACGAATGGTATATAATACCGACAAGATGAGAGTAAGACACATGTGCAACATCTGGGTATCTTTATTGTAGACGTTTCGCCATCCAGTGGCTTTATCAATACAAATTCTAGGACATAACTTGAAGACAGTAGAACTATGTACAGAAGATGAGGTAATCAGTCCCTCAACCTAGGAGTAGGTGCGAACAGCACCATAGTCGTGGAGATTCTGAAGCAGAAGAAAGAATCCTGGCGCTTATATAGTAACGTCAGGTGAAACAGACGAGGGCATATTCACTGGTAGGCGGGATTCCCCAGTGGAAGTAGGTCCTTCCCAAAGAGATGGGTTAGTTGTAGTAGTAGTTGTCGTAGTCATGAAGGTTATGTACATGTCCTCAGAATTAAGATTCCATGATGTTGCAGTGTTGCAGACACTGCAACACTTTTAATATCAATATGAGTGATGGTTATAAAGTTAGGTTGAAGAAAAGTACCATGAGTGCTTTTAGGGAAAATCTAAAGATTGTTGATATATCACTTTTTATTTACTTCTCAGGGGTAATATTTCCTTATGATTTGCAGTAGAGATGAGGATAAAAAAATACATTGAAAATAGTAAAAATTATTTGAAAATACAAATAAAGGCTTTGGAATCGATATTTTTATAAGATACACAGTAGTCAGGCACATTTGTTTAATATAATATCAAAAACATTTGCGGTGGACGATGCCGGGGCCGGACTCGTCGTACTCTCCTTGGTGACCCACATTTGCTGGAAGGTGGACAGTGAGGCCAGGATGGAACCACCGATCCAGACGGAGTACTTACGCTCGGGAGGAGCAATGATCTTGATCTTAATGGTAGCAGGAGCCAAGTTTGTTATTTCCTTTTGTACTCTGTCAGCAATACCAGGATACATGGTGCTGCCGCCTGAGAGGACTGAGTTGGCGTATAAGTCTTTCCTAATGTCAACATCACACTTCATTATAGAATTATAGACTGTTTCGTGAACTCCACATGCCTCCATTCCTAAGAAGGAAGGCTGGAATAGAGATTCAGGAGCACGAAAACGCTCGTTGCCAATGGTGATGACCTGACCGTCGGGAAGTTCGTAAGATTTATCTAAAGTCGAGGAGGCCGCTGCGACATTCATTTCCCCTTCGAAATCAAGAGCAACATAACAGAGTTTTTCTTTAATATCTCGAACAATTTCTCGTTCAGCAGTAGTGGTGAAGGAATAGCCTCGCTCAGTCATAATCTTCATCAAGTAATCAGTCAAATCACGCCCAGCTAAATCAAGACGAAGGATGGCGTGAGGAAGAGCATAACCCTCGTAGATGGGAACAGTGTGGGACACACCATCACCAGAGTCCAGCACGATGCCTGTGGTACGACCAGAGGCGTACAGGGACAACACGGCCTGGATGGCTACGTACGTGGCTGGTGTGGCAAAGGTCTCAAACATGATCTGTGTCATCTTCTCACGGTTGGCCTTGGGGTTGAGGGGAGCCTCAGTGAGAAGGATAGGGGACTCCTCAGGGGCAACACGCAGCTCGTTGTAGAAAGGAGTGATGCCAGATCTTCTCCATGTCGTCCCAGTTGGTGACGATACCGTGCTCGATGGGGTACTTGAGAGTCAGGATACCTCTCTTGCTCTGGGCCTCATCACCGACGTAGGCGTCCTTCTGACCCATACCGACCATCACACCCTGGTGACGAGGACGGCCGACGATGGAGGGAAATACGGCTCGGGGAGCGTCGTCACCGGCGAAGCCGGCCTTGACCATGCCGGAGCCATTGTCGCACACCAGAGCACAGTCTTCTTCCTCACACATAACAGGGATTTAATCGCTCAGCTAAATCTGTTGGTATAGCAACAATTTTCATGTTTATTTACATACGATTATATTATTTTTGTCCAAACTTTAAAATATAATAATGATTTTCTCATAAACGCCGAAGTGCATTAACACATTTTAAATAAGTGAAGGCAGAAACAGATAACATAAAAATTATGACAAAACTGAAAGAGAAAAGGCTAATTAAACTACTTCCTATGGAATCTTAAACTATCAGTGTAACAGATTGACTAAAGTCATTCAATAAAATGAATTACAGAGCAAAACATAAACATTACGAACAATGAAGGTATTAAAATAGTCGGTGACGTCACGAGTAAGACAAGAGAGCCTTAGTCTAAAGTAATAGGGACTATCTGTCTATATAAGTGTATAAGTGTATTACACAAGTATCAGTGTGGGTATGCAGACGTAAAGACTAGTTAAGAGAACGGTGTGCATTAATAAAAAAAATCAGTAGATAACATTTATATAAAGTAGCAAGATAAATAACAAAAAGGCACAATACCGTGACTGGAACGATACACAAATAACCCGCACATAAAAGAGAGAAGCTTACGACGACGTCGGACCGAAACGTCGTCGTAAGCTTCTCTCTTTTATGTGCGGGTTATTTGTGTAAAGTAGCAAGATATTCAAGAGAAACTGCAAAACTCACATTACGTTATATTTCTTCACAATAACAAGTGAATATAGGATGGATTACCCTCCAAAATTATATGGTAAATTAATTTCAAAATTCAGAGCTTGTTTCTGTTATTAATACAAATATACAATCACACATACACATGAAAATGGATTTATCGAGTCATACTTTAAGTATGGAAGGGGAGGGTGACACACCTTATATAAATATAACACAAACCTGGTTGTTAAGACCACACACTAAATACAACACTGGTTGAAGCATCACCTCACTACCAGTGGTCAGTTTCAGTAGCTGTTACAATCATGAAACTAGCGGTTTCACAACTCTGGTAAGTCGTTGTATAGTCGTGACTCAGCATCATCGCCAGACAGATTCACCTCAGCAGCGCTTCCAGTCATGGAAACTGTTACTCTTCGTTAGATTTGTCTTTGACCG